ACAAAAAAATGTTTGTACATTCTCTATTCCTGAGCTCAGAGCATTTCTCTGTATACCTAGATTGAAGTTCTCTTTTTCATCATCTTTTTCTGGATCCATTTGGATATGGGTTGTTTTTTTTGTTTTGTTTGGTTTTTGTTTTTTGTCTCTCTTTAAGTGGACTCAGCAAGAAAAATATGGGTGGATATTTAGGTTATTTTTACTGCTAATCCAATATGTATAGATATAGCATATTTCTCTGATAAACAGACCCATCATCCGAATTTCCCAGCATAACCCAAAGCCTGCCAAAGCATATGAATAAAATAGGCTGATGGAAACTGATCAAATACATTTTGTCTTGTTTCACATGAAAATATTTACAAGAAAATGCCTATTTTTTAAAAAGAAGTCAGCACTAAATTCAGCATAGTTGACATCAAAAGCCCCTTTATTTAATCAAATTAAGTTGAACAGTCTTTTCTCTTGTCTAATTTAAACATTACTATAACAGACAGGGTGTGCTGAGTTCCTCTTGGCTCATGGCACTGATGCTGCATATATCTAAACTAAACAATTAAATAAGGTTTGCCAGGAGGCTTATGCAGCAAGCACATGAAGTAAATTTGGAGAACAGAAGTGATGCCTCCTGCATCCTTCGCTGTTGCCTTGTCAGACCCTCAGGGAAATCATATGCGTGACATGGGGGAAGATGAAAAATTACTTTTGGAGAAGCTAGTTTCTGTGCACAGAGTAGTAATGACATGCTTATAGTTATTGTTTTATTAGCTGATTGGCAAAGACTCACCCAGAAGGAACCTTGATAAGCAAGAAAATTATCACATAAAAGAAGAGAACATTTATTATCAACATTTTAAACTATCAGCAAATTAGGGAGAGGTTTTTTTTTTCTTCTCTTGGGTTTAGATTTGCTATATAAATGTACAAAAAAATTGTTTTAATGGGAGCCCAGATGTAATGTGGGAAAAAAATTCTGTAAAGAAAATAGGTAACACAATTCCTGTAAGGAAAAAAAAGGGGGGGGGCGGTTACAGAAAACTGAGAACCCCTATAGTATTTTACTTCATAGGGGTTTAAAGTTTTATGTACTTTGTTTCTGCATTCTGGTATCATATTTTTCTCTCAAAGTCAATAATTTTGAACCCATTCTTGGGTTATTCATTGTTCTCTATCCATTTCAACCAAAGCAAGATGAACCAAGGTTTCTTGAACAAATCTGATTATCAGGGTGTTTCCAGAGTGCTTCTTGTACTATTTTTAAATACTGCTACATTGAAAAAGAAAAGGAAGCAGGAAAAAAACCCTCAAAATTAATGTGATAATATAATTTTTCAAATGAAGTATGCTTATAAGTTTGAAATTATTCAGTTTCCACCTTCTGTGCATAAATTGCCTTTACTTCTTTTAACGTAACCAAACCACTACTTATTTTTCTCTCTTTTTTCCCCTCCTTCCCTCTCTCCCTTTTTCCTTTCCTTCCTGACGAACTTTATTTCATCTAAATTTTCTTTTTGTAGAAAATCTGGACAACACAGAATATTATAAAGAAGCAATTATTTTACCAATAAATCTGACACCAAAAGAACCATTATTATCAGCTGGTTTATTTCCTTCAACCTCATGATTAATTTAAGATTCTTTGTATCCTTTGTTTTATTTGTATCTGTTTATCCCTCTTCTTAACTGAAAAAGCATGCCATAAGGATAGATGTCGCCTGCTAGTTGGAATTCACTCACCTTTCCCCATCCTCCACTCCCTGAAGCCCTGAGACTCTCTATTCTTTTCAGAGGCAGGTATTAGATAGAGGACCTACTTACTGTCTTATCCATTCTGTTTCTACCGTGCCTGATCAGCTGATAGCAGCTTGGCTGTTTCGGACCTTTTATCATGGCTGTTGAACAAAATTTATATAGTCCAATTAGATAGATTCCAGAGCCCTTGTTATGCTGTAATTCCTGCTTGCATTCATAAAAGTACCAAAACAAAGACGTTGAAACCCTCCAGCCCCCAAGTTTCTTCTTATGCCTAAAATTTCTTGACCTTGAATTAGGCCCAGATATAATTGCCAATTTATCTTGGCAGAATGGAACTTTCTTTTTTGAACTGTCTAAAGAAGGGTTTCAGTTTAGAGTTTCATAGCATGTAGGCCAGGAATTTTCAGCAGCAAACTCTTCCTGTAAAGGGCCAGATAGTAGCAGGCTATGTAGTCTGTCATAGCTACTTAACTGCCGTTGTAGTGCGAAAAAGAGACATTATGTAAATGAATGAGTGTGGCTCTGTTCCAACAAAACTTTATTTAAAAACTATGGCAACAGGCCATATTCGCCACACGTTTTAAGCCATGAATCTCTAAAGCATTATTTGATGACATACTTGTTCCTTTGAGGAAGAAGTTAAATATTTACATCATACATGACAGGAAATCATGTATCTATTAAGGGTTTATACAGAAATGAAAACTAAAAATACTCTGAATGATACAAAATGTGTTGATCATAAAAGAACAGATTGACAGATTTGACTACATAAAAACTGAGATCACAAAGTATGCCATAAATAAAGATAAAATTCAAATGACAAACTGGAAAAAAAACTAGTTGCAATCTATTGGGTTGTTGGAAAAGTCATGATGCATTTTTGCAATGAAAAACATAGAAAAAAATACGTCATGACTTTTCCGACAACCCAGTATATGACTAGCAATTCAGGTATGATTTCTATACACCAATAAGACAAATAACTCAAAAGAAAAAAAAGGACAAAAGATATAAATTCAAAGAAAAGATATATAATGGTCAGTAAGCAGGAAAAGATGCTTGTTCTTACTAATAGTGAAATCTCTATATTAAAGGGAAATTTTTTGCCTGCTAAATTTACAAATGTGAATAGCCAGTCATACTTACAATTCTCAGCGTAACATGGGGAAATAAACAACTGGAGATGGCTGTGATGTCTTATATTAGTTCTATGTTATTGTGCAACAAATTACCCCATAACTTAGCAGCTGAAAACAAGCATTTGCTATCTCAGGGCTTCTGTCAGTCAGGAATCCAGGAGTGGCTTAGCTAAGGTGGCTCTCGCTCAGTTCTCATGAGCTGTAGCCGAGCTGTCAGCCAGGGCTGCACTCCTTGGGGATGGACAGTGTGCTTCCGAGATCACCCACGTGAGTGTTGGCAAGCCCCAGTTCCTTGCTACCTGTTGGTCAGAGACATCAGGTCCTCTTCACCTGAGCCTCGCCATTGGCTCCTTACAACATGGCAGCTAGTTTTTTCCTGAGCAAGCGATCCAAGAGACAGGCAACCAAGACAGACTCCACAGTATATTCTATAATCTAACACTGGAAGTGACATACCATTACTTCTACCATATGTTATTGGTCACACAGACCAATCGTGGTACAGCTTGGAAAGGGACTGCACAACAGGGCGAGTACCAGAAGGCGGGGACCCTTGGGAACCACCTTGGAGGCTGACTACCACATGGCTGGGTTGGGACTGTATGCCTAGGGCCTTATTGCTCTCTGTCAGCTGGGTCCTGCAGTTCTCCACTGCTGTCTCCTGCAGCTCGAATGTCCAAAATGGCTTTTCACCCTCAAATGTCTGGCATCTGGTTGGGTTTGGCAGGAGCACCTGGGGCCTGGCCGGGCATCTTTTATCCCACATGGCTAGCAAAACAAATCTGAGATTTTAGAGCTGGGCAATTTGAAGAATGGGGATGCCATTTACTCATATGGCAAAGACTGCAGAACAACTGGTTTGGAGAGAAAATCAGGATTTGTTAAAATATTTGGCACCTGTATAAGAGAATGCAGCCATTAAGGGCAATCTACAAACAGATCTATATGTAGTGAAGTAGAAATACTACCCATGGTGTTAATTGCAAAGTACCATAAATAATGATTTTCTGTTATGGAGAAAGAAATATATATTTGTTAATATGTGCATTATTATTATTCCACACAATTCTAACAAGTTCTAACCTGTCTTTCTATGGCTATCTTAAGAGTTTGGATTTTATTCCATAGGCAGAGGGAACTTTTTGAAGGTTTTTGATCAGCGGAGTGATATCATAATTATGCTTTATAAAGAATGAAAGATCAATGGGAGAGCCAGAGACTGAACTCTATGAAAGCATGCCAAGTTATATTTAAATTCTTTGAAATAAGTCAGTGGAAGTCAGAGACAATGTTGCTTTCTTTGTTTCATTCATACCTTCTAGCCTAGAATAAGCTATGTGGAAAGAGTTTGATAAATGGTAAATGAATGAATACATGCATCATCAATATTCCAGGTTGTTAGAGAAGAGGCTGGTCTGAATTAGTAAAATATATCAATTATAAATATTTTTTTCATTTGTTTTATGATGTTCAAGAGGTAACAAAATAATGCAGCATTAACAGGTAGTAGGCCTATGGAAATCTGATTTAGTTAGTAGACTAAAAGCATATAAAATACTGTCTTTGATGCTATATGTGACTTTTTAAAAAACAGTTTACAACAATTAGGGTTATTTTAAATTCACCTCCCACCTGTGTACATACTTCAAGGTCTCCATTTTCTCAATAACAGTAAGTCCTTTGAATGATAATGAAAGTTGCTGAACATAGAAGGAGTATATTCAAAAAGATTAAAACTGTCAAATAGGTACTTCAAGAGAGATTTTTCAGAGAAAGATACCCCAATTAAGTTGTCACTGGGCAAAATATCATATTTCTCTATTCCCTGAAAGAGCTAGATGTTGGGCTTTGTTTTGAAAAATGACACAAAGATAAAAGACAAATGACGAACTGAAAAAAAATGACATTTTAAAAATAATTGATGAGCTTTTGTCTCCAGATTTTTATTTTGCTCAAATAATTTGGTTTAATATAAACATCAAATGTATTGGGCCTACAAATTTCCATGAAGGGGCAAAAGTTTATTGTTGGTTTCATGATGTATTGTCATATGGGCTTTAATAAATTACAAGCAATTTGCTAAAAATGCTTTGTTTATTTCAGGGGCTACATTAAGTATGAGACCGGCCCCCATTCCAATAGAGGACCCAGAATGGAGACAAACGCCTCCCCCAGTTTCTGCCACATCTGGAACCTTCCGACTACGACGAGGGAGTCGATTTACCTGGAGAAAGGAGTGCCTGGCTGTCATGGAAAGGTACATTTCTCCTTTTCCTATGGACTAGTCTCCCAAACTTAGGAAAGAGAGAAACTTTCGATAAAATTTGGACAGTTTTCATTTCAAACAAGTAATTAGGGATCTAGGCTCTATCTCTAAAAGTATTTTGGAATATTATAAAGGCTATATTATTGAAATAAGAGTTAATATCTATCAATATACTTTAATAGTGTCCTCAGTAAAAAAACTTGAGAAGAAATTTTTTTTTTTTTTTTAGTTTAGACCTTTGTATTATATTTTGGAAAAATTCTTTGAGGTCTTATTTACAACAAAAATATTGAATAATTTTATAAGAGGCCACTGAGATTTTTTTTTTTATTAAATTTTTTAAACCTTTCAATTACAGTTGATATACAATATTATATTAGTTTCAGGTGCACAACATAATGATTAAACATTTATATAACTTACAAAGTGATCACTCCAATAAGTCTAGTACCTAACTGACAGCATACACAGTTATTACAATATTATTGACTATATTCCCTATACTTGATATCCCTGTGACTGTTTTTATAACTGGCAATTTGTACTTCTTAATCCCTTCACCTTTTCCACCCATCTTGCCAAACTCCCTGTCATCTGGCAACCATCAGTTTGTTCTCTGAATCTATGAATTTGTTTCTATTTTGTTTGTTAGTTTATTTTGTTTTTTAGATTCTACGTATAAGTGAAATCATATGACATTTCTCTGTCTGACTTATTTCATTTAGCATAATACCCTCTAGGTCCATCCATGTTGTTGCAAATGGCAAGATTCCATTCTTTTTTTTATGGTTGAGTAATATTCCATTGTATATGTGTATTATAGCTTCTTTATCCATTCATCTATCAGTAGACACTTAGGTTGGTTCCATGTCTTGGCTATTATAAATAATGCTGCAATGAACATAGGGGTGCATATATCTTTTCAAATTAGTGTTATGGATTTCTTCTTATAAATACCAAAGATATTTATGGATTTCGTCAGATAAATACAGAAGTAGAATTGCTGGCTCATATGGTAGTACTATTTTTAGTTTTTGGTGTTTTTTTTTTATTTTTTTATTGGGGAATTGGGGGAGGAAACAGTGTTGGGGAATTGGGGAAGGGGAACAGACAAGTTGCTGTCCTTTTGTTCTTCAGCCTGGTTGTGGAGGATGTCGCTTCACTGGCCCATGTTGGTGTTGTGATCATTGTGCTCTTTCCATCTGAGGCAGATGGGTCTCAGGCCACTGGACAGCCGCTCATGCCAGCTGCTGCATTTTTAATTTTTTGAGGCACCTTCATATTATTTTCCATAGAAGTGGCTGCACCAATTTACAATCCCACCAACAGTGCACACGAGTTTCCTTTTCTCCACATACTTGCCATCACTTGTTTGTTGATTTATTGATGATAGGCATTCTGACAGGTGTAAGGTGATATCTCATTGTGGTTTTAATTTGCATTTCTCTGATGATTAGTGATGTTGAGCATCTTTTCATATGTCTATTGGCCATCTATATGTCCTCTTTGGAGAAATGTCTATTTAGGTCCTCTGCCCATTTTGTAATCAGATTTTTTTTTGGTGTTAAGATGTATGAGTTCCATATCTGTTTTGCATATTAACTTCTTATCATATGTATCATTGGCGAATATCTTCTCCCATTTAGTAGGTTGTTTTTCATTTTGTTGCTTTCCTTTGCTGTGCAAAAACTCTTTAGTTTGATGTAGTCCCATTTGTTTGTTTTTTCTTTTGTTTCCCTTGCCCTAGGAGACATATCCAAAAAAAATATTACTAAAAGTGATGTCAGAGAGTTTACTACCTATGTTTTTTCTAGGAGTTTTATGGTTTGGGGGTCTTACATTTAAGTCTTTAATCCATTTTGAGTTTATTCTTGTGTATAGTGTGAAAAAGTGATCCAGTTTCATTCTTTTACATGAATCTGTCAAGTTTTCCCAGCACCATTTATTGAAGAGACTGTCTTTACCCTATTTTATAGTCTTGCCTCCTTTGTCATAGAGTAACTGACAGTATGGGCGTGGGTTTATTTCTGGACTCTCTATTCTGTTTCATTGATCTTTGTGTCTGTTTTCATGCCAGTACCATGCTGTTTTGATAACTATAGCCTTGTAGTATAGTTTGATATGAGGTAACATGATAATAATACCTCCAACCTTGTTCTTCTGTCTCAAGGTGACTTTGGCTATTCAGGGTCTTTTGTGGTTCTGTATATATTTTAAGATTATTTGTTCCAGCTCTGTGGAAAATGCCATTGGTGTTTTGCTAGGCATTACAGAATTGAATCTGTAGATTGCTTTATGTAGTATGGACATTTTAACAATATTAAGTCTTCCTATCCATGAAGACGGAATATTGTTCCATTTATTTGTTTCTTCTTCAGTTTCTTCAGAGTTTTATAATTTTGTGAGTTCAGGGCTTTTACCTCCTTGGTTAAATTTATTCCTAGGTATTTTATTCTTTTTCATGTAATTGTAAATGGGATTGTTTTCTTAATTTCTCTTTCTGATAGTTTGTTTTTGGTGTATAAAACTGCAACCGATTTTTTAATATTAATTTTTATCCTGCTACTTTACCGAATTAATTTATCAATTCTAAGAGTTTTTGGTGAACTCTTTAGGGTTCTCTATATATTGTATCATGTGATCTGCAAATAATGCCAACTTTACTTCTTTCTTTCCAATTTGGTTGCCTTTTATTTATTTTTCTTGTCTGATTCCTGTGCCTAGGACTTCCAATATTATGTTAATTAAAAGTGGTGAAAGTGGGCATCCTTGTCTTATTCCTGATCTTAAAGAAAACAGTTTCAGCTTTTCATTGCTGAATATGATGTTAGTGTAGGTTTTTCACATATGGCCTTTATTATGTTGAGGTATGTCCCCTCTATCCCCACTTGCTAAGAGTATTTATCATAAATGGATATTGGATTTTGTCAGATGCTTTTCCTGCATTTATTGATATGCGCATATGATATTCTTCGTTTTATGTGGTGTATCACATTAATTGATTTATAGATATTGAACCAACCTTGCATCCAGGAATATATCCTACTTGATCATGGTGTATGAACATGTTGCTGAATTCAGTTTGCTAATATTTTGTTGAAGATTTTTGCATCTATGTTCATCAGGGATAGTGACCTTTTTGTTGCTGTTGTTTGTAGCATCTTTGTCTGGTTTTGGTACCAGGGTAATGCTAGGGAGGCCACTGAGATTTAACATTCTTTGATAAGGATTGTGGCCTAAATGAGCTTATTCCCAAGATTAAGTTTGACTTTGATTTGGTAATTAATGCTCTGATTCTAGCCCCAGGATCTGATCCATAGTAGGTACTCAGTACTTTTTAAACTTGAATTTGACCTTGGCTTCAGTTTTCCCATATGCAATGGTATAAATTAATTAAATATGGTTATGAAATGTTCAATGAATAGAATTATTCTTTTAGTCTCCTACCTATAAATAGAGTTTACAGAATTTTATTTTGATGGCAAGTTTTATCTGCGATAAGGTAATAATTTTCTGCCAGAAAATTATTTACTTTATAAAATTACATGTACAAAACAAGAATAAAATAAGCAGATGTAAAAACAATTGAATTTTCATATTGAGATTTCTCAGTAATTTTAATAATAGAAAAGAATGCAATTGAATGTTTACAACTAGGTTTAATTTCTAAGCTGATATAGAATACGTATTTATATTGAGATAGCTTCACATTCCCCCCCCCCGCAATTATCTAATCTGACCAGTTGAATGGCATACTGGAAAGAACATTTGACTCAGAATTAGATGACCTAAAATCTGGTTTTGGTTTTGCTGTTAACTCGGTTGTGTAACTTTGTTCAGGTTACAAACTCTGAGCTGTAGCTTCATCTACAAAATGAAGTTGTTCTGTAGCCAATAATGAAGTATATGTCATCTAAGACTTTGACCATGTCCCTTCCTATCTATTTCCTGATCAGTTCCCAGTTCATTAACATCACTGCCTGAAAGAGAGGGAGATTTGAAATGCTGTCGTTCAGGCCGTGATTTTGTTCTTGTGATTAAGTTGAAATTATAAGGTTTGCTTAAGGAAAAGGTTGGATCTAGTAGCCAACATGAGACTGTAGATTATCATTGATGTTATCATCTGCTCCTTTCCTCACTCTCTTTGTTACAGAGAAGAGTAGAAACCATTTATTGTATAAAATGAATCTTTACATGCTTGAGTAGTCAAAGTGCAGAATGAGACTTTATTGTCCTGGAGACCTAACATTTACGTAAAATCTGCTTTATTTTTCTCATGTGGAAATTTTGATTCTTTTAAAATTTTTCTTTAGAGTTTGCCATGTAACAAACGTGATTTAAATAATATCTAACTGATTTGCAGTGTTGTACATTTTCCTCTGTGTAACAAAATAAGCTTTGGTTTTAGTTTCTGGTGGGTTTGACTTCTACTTGTGCTACTGACTCATTTAATTTTTTCGTGAAGATACATTTATCACATAATATCAGTGTGAAGAAGGATTAATTTAAAATTTGATAACATTAATAACAATAGGTAATATTCCTAATGCATTTTCAGAATTGAACATTCAAGGCTTTGTGATTCCTTTCATTTTTTTTTTTTTCGAGCAACAAGAACTAGCTACAGAATCATAGTGATTAAATATCAGTTAAGAAGTTATTGAGCACTTACCCTGTTTAAGGCTCCCATTTAATCTTAATTTTCACTTGGTATCCTTAATTTTAATTAATAAGTGTCTTTAATCCAGGAATTGGTTGTCTTTGGTTTAATTTTATCGTACCTGGCACAATCAGTAAGAAAGTATATGGTTTATTCCAATAGTGGCAAAGAGCCTATCATAGTATTGAATAGCAATAGCAGAGAAGGTCACAGTATGATTTTTAACTGTGAAAATAAAACTTTTTACTTTTGAACATAGACTATAAATCCCCTAGCCTCAGAGCAATGCATGGTGTTTTTTCTAGATTGAATGGGTGAATAAATACATACA